AAGTAACAAACAGGTCAAATGTTTGGGTAAGGTTGTTTAATATTTTAAGTTCAGCTTTTTCAAATTATTACATACATTTACATAGTTTTAAGAACTAATTATTCAACTTTGAATTTCTTAAACCATTTTACGTGGTTTCAAGTAATTGCTCATTTACATTATTTAAGTATTTTGATCCATCCATCCATTTTCTTCTGCTTATCCGGGGTCGGGTCTCGGGGGGGGGGGGGGGGGGGGAGCCTAAGTAGGGGGGGCCCCCCTTCCCCCCTCCCCCCCGCCACTTGGTCCAGCTCCTCCAGGGGAATCCCAAGGCATTCCCAGGCCAGCTGAGAAACATAGTCCCTCCAGCGTGTCCTGGGTCTTCCTCTGGGTCTCCTTCCGGTGGGACGTGTCCGGAACACCTCACCAGGGAGGCGTCCAGGAGGCATCCTAAACAGATGCCTGAGCCACTTCAACTGACTCCTCTCGATGTGGAGAAGCAGCAGTTCTACTCTGAGTCCCTCCCGTTTGATCGAGCTTCTCACCCTATCTTTAAGGGAGAGCCCAGACACCCTGCGGAGAAAACTCATTTCAGTCGCTTTTATCCGAGATCTCGTTCTTTCGGTCACAACCCAAAGCTATGATTGATGATAGATGAGGGTAGGAGCGTAGATTGATCAGTAAATTGAGAGCTTTGCCTTTTGACTCAGCTCTCTCTTCACCATGACAGACCTGTACAGCACCCGCTTCACCGCAGATGCTGCACCTATCCGCCTATCGATCTCATGTTCCATTTTTCCCTCATTCGTGAACAAGACCCCAAGATACTTCAACTCCTCCACTTGTGGCAGGACCTCCTCCCTGACCCGGAAAGGGCACTCTACCCTTTTCCGACTCAAGACCATGGCCTCGGATTTGGAGGAACTGATCCTCATCCTGGCCGCGTCGCACTCGGCTGCGAACCACACCAGCGAAAGCTGTAGATCACGATCTGATGAAGCCAATAGGACCACATCATCTCCAAAATCAGAGACGCAATCCTAAGGCCACCAAAATGGATTCCCTCAACACCTTGGCTCCACCTAGAAATTCTGTCCATAAAAGCTATGAACAAAATCGTTGACAAAGGGCAATCTTGCCAATTCAGGGGATCTTCCCCCGATGTCCACGCAATATTGCAGAGTCACGTAAGCCAACACAACCCTACAACATCCAGAGCCTTAAGGAACTCCGGGCGAATCTGATCCACCCCTGGGGCCCTGCTACCGAGGAGCTTTTTAACTACCTCCGTGACCTCAGCACCAGAGATTGGAGGGCCCGACCCAGAGTCCCCAGGCTCCGCTTCCTCAATGGAAGATGTGTCGGTGGGATCGAGGAGGTCTTCAAAGTATTCTGCCCACCGACCCACGACATCCCGAGTTGAGGTCAGCAGCACACCACCCCTACTATAAACAGTGTTGGTGGTATACCGCTTTCGCTCCCTGAGATGCCGGATGGTGGACCAGAATCACCTCGAAGCCGTGCGGAAGTCATTCTCCATGGCCTCTCCGAACTCCTCCCATGCTCTAGTTTTTGCCTCAGCGACCACCTGAGCTGCATGTCGCTTGGACTGCCGGTACCCATCAGCTGCTTCCAGGGTCCCACAGGCCAAAAAGGCCCGATAGGACTCCTTCTTCAGCCTGACAGCATCCCTCACTGCCGGTGTCCACCACCCAGTTCGAGGGTTGCCACTGCGACAGGCACCGATAATCTTGCGGCCGCAGCTCCTGTAAGCCGCCTCAACAACAGAGGCATGGAACATGGCCCACTCGGACTCAATGTCCCCCACCTCCCCCGAAACATGTTTGAAGTTCTCCCGGAGGTGGGAGTTAAAACTCCGTCTCACAGGAGGCTCTGCCAGACCTTCCCAGCAAACCCTCACAATACGTTTGGGCCTGCCGGGTCTGACAGGCATCCTCCCCCACCATTGGAGCCAACTCACCACCAGGTAGTGATCAGTGGACAGCTCCACCCCTCTCTTCACCCGAGTGTCCAAGACATGCGGCCGCAGATCAGATGAGACAACGACAAAGTTGATCATTGAACTGTGGCCTAGGGTGTCCTGGTGCCAAGAGCACATATGGACACCCTTATGCAAACCATGACGAGCACAGAAGTCCAACAACAGAACACCACTCGGGTTCAGATCAGGAGGGCCTCCCAACCACACCCCTCCAGGTCTCACTGTCATTGCCAACGTGAGCATTGAAGTCCCCCAGCAGAACAAGGGATTCCCCAGTATTTCCTTGATATTTTTTATTTTATTTTATTTAGTCTGTTTTTGCACAATTTGTTATTTTTATGCTTTTAAGTTATTTTATTTGTTGTTTATTGTTGATCTTGCACTACAAATCATTTTGAACATTACTGTTGCAGTTCTTTGAAATCAAAGATATTAAACCAGATGACACTTTTGCTGTAAAATACATTGCATAATGGTGTTTCATTTTTTCTTTTGTAACTTTAAGTATACACATATAGGATAATGTATACAGGGCTGTCAGAGTTGCAATGAGTTTATGTCAGGTGAGTGAATGATCTGATCATCTGACTGTTGATTGCAGTAATCCACATTATTAGCAGAAATAGTGGACCCCAAACTAAATTTTGCTTACGGCCCCTTGAAGGTTTGGGTTGACACTATGTGTGTATCTGCACACAACACTGGTCACATGACATATAATACTAAATGTTTTGGGACAGAGGTGCAGAGCTGACCACATGCAGTCAGATCACCTGAAACAGATTTGTAAGAACAAATTTAAATCCTGAACAGCTCAAGCACAATGGTTTCCTGCAAACATCTCTAATGAGTGTTGTTAACTCAGCCTGCGTGACACTTAGTGCCACTGGTTGTTGCACCTTCAAAGGGGCCATTACTGGTCAGACAGAGGTAACTTTACTTTAAACATCCTACTCAGCTAAAGCACCAATTAGTCTTTAATTGCTAATTGTTTGTTATTCCTCCTGAATTATCCACCTGTTAGGCTGAATGTGTCCTACATAACAAGTTGGCACAGCAAACATTTCCATGTTTCCCTGGGCCCAGCAGTGCTCCCAGTGGCACTTCAGCACTCTGCCACTGAAGTATTCTTCATCTGTAGCAGTTGAGTTGAGTGAATATCATCACTATCTAAAGAGGTATGCTGAGCTCTTGGAAAAGCTCTTCAAAAATCCAGCCAGTTATATCTCAAACCCTGATGGTAGCGGATCAGCGTGGGCTTCCAAAGAAGCCTTTTGGGAAAATGACACTATGCAGCAGTGGAGATGTGTCTCATCACCGCTCACAGAAGAACTGACACATCTGCCTTGGCACAAAGCTCGGCTGCCTGTCAGACTTGGCTCAGGTGTTTTCCTTCTTCTCATTGCTATCCTGAACAGCATCCGTGAGGCAGAGTAAACAAACAGATCCTGATATAATTTTAACCCTTTTAACATAAATCATTCTAATCACCTACTGCAGATTTAGCTTTGCCTGTGTGTGAGCATTTGTTTGTCTCTAGTGTTAGCAAATATCTCATGACTTATTGAACAAATATGATGTAAAACTTCAGAAAATACTGTAATCAATAAGCTGGCATCTGCAGCTGATGAACTTTTGAACTCAACCCAATTCAAGACAGCCACTACAGCCCACTGATCTTTAAAAAACTACCAATTGTCTATAATTTGACCATTTTTACAGAACGTGTTGTAGTAGTTTGTCATCGTCCTCAACACATACTCTGACACAACACACAACACATTGCACAATATCTTTGTGTAAAAATGTATTCTTGAAATGTTGGCATTAACGGGTAAGGTTGAACCTATGCGTTTGTGTTTGTTGTCAGCATAAATTATGAACTACTGGAGTTTCAATAAAGCTTTTAAAAAGTCATTATCGGCTGAGTATTTACACATAAATAAGTTCTGGACTTGACCCAATTCAAGATGGCCACAGATAATCAATCTTAGCAAACATTAAAACATCTGTAACAGTTAATTTAACAGATGTTGACACAAACACTGAAGTGATAGCAGCTGACGTTCATTCGCAACACATGCTCCAAGTGCTAACAGAGCATGCGAGGTCTCTGGAGATGTCACCAGATTACATGAGATTGTGCAAAATGTCATTTTCTGGATTTGACCATAAGATGATCCTAGTCTGAAAGTCTGGCATGAAAGGTTGAAGGCAATGTGCATTATTCAAGGAATGCAATGCCTTTATAAATAAATAACATTATTAATTGACTTTTTATGTATGTGAACATACAGTGCCCTGAGACAACTTCTGTTGTGACTTGGCGCTTTATAAATAAACTGAACTCAATTTATTAATTTACCTGGAAAAGTCCTGTCACTTCTATAAATCCAGCTGAACAGATGCCAGAAACCCAAACAGGGAGCTTCGCTCACCTCTCCCCTCCTTTGCTTGCTGTTACCATAGTGATACTTTTTAAACCACATTCTTTACCTGGTTATTCTTTTTCCTCGCTGACTTTGGGATTTTAGTAGTTTCTGCCGTGAATCTCCACCTCAACTTCTTCAGCTCCTGACCAGGTGGAGGTTCAGAGTCAGCAGAGATCCTCTCTGTGAGGCATTCAGATAAACTTTCACTCAGGACTTCTTCAGTCTGGTCAATGTTAAACAGACTTGTGGGGAGAAATGAAAGCTTGGTGCGGCCCCTCACTGAAGATCATTTACAAATAATGGATGGCTCGCTCACGGTAGCGATGGCCATCTGTATGAGTGTGTGCTTCGGTGAGCGCAGCAGTGAGGAGAGAAAGGCAAACAGAGACACAGCATTTCAGAGTCGTGACCAAGAATAGTGCTCAGCACTGACAGATGAGATGCAGCTGCTGCAGGAGCTCAGTCCCACCTCACTTTCCTGCATCCTTAAACAAATGTGCATCAAGCATTAATTCCACCGTGCTGACACACTGAGGGAGCTCTCACAGCCTCTGCTTACATTGGATAGAAGCAGTAATGGCACTTACCCAAAGACTTCTCAGAGGTTTTCTACGAAGCCCCTCAGACACGGCAGCTCCTCGTCCAGTGCGCCTGCTCGTGTGGGGTCTCCCTCAGAAGCCTCCAGCCAGAATGAGAGCTTCGCTGCTTCATCAGATTCAGGGATGTCATCCTTCACTGGGGTGCAAGTAAAGCCGATGGGAGAGAGAGAGATGCGCTGTGGTGGTTTGGAAAGCGGTGAGGCAGTGAGAGCAAGTGAAGATTACCGCTTAGAGGGAGGCATGAGGGAGGCAGAAGATGACAGAATGGAAATGACATTGTAGCGTAATGCAGCAGAACAGTGACCACATACTATAAGCTCTCACTCCCTCATTTCTGTCGCCCACCACCCTTACCACTCCCCCAGCAAAAACATTTTTCTCTCCCCATACTGCAGCAGCTAATCACACTAATGTATGCAGCCTGACTAAAGAAGGCAGGGTTCATTTTGACTCCTGACAAGACTTAAACTGTGCAGCACATTATGTTTAAATAAACTCACACTCGGCAGCAATATTTTGCTTTAATGACCGACAATAAAAAAGGATTTTGCAACAGAAACTTTTGCTTTTACAAGTCACTACACAACAAAACAGCTTCAAGAGTCTCAGTTTTGTTTTATGTTACACTTTGTTGAACTGATGAACTCAACAAAATTTCCAAAACAGGTTAGATAATAAATTTCTCCAACAAATGTTTGTGTTATTGATTATCTCACATGATGGTGGTCAGTGTTCAAGAACAATACAACAAAAGTTGTTGTCCAGAACACTGCAGCACAACTCCTGAAAGACAAATACAAGCATGACAATTGCTCCTCAACCATAAAGGGGGACTATTTTGTTATTGCCTGTTTGTTTGTGTGTGTAAGTGAACATTAAATGTACACTGGCAAGACACTTTTGGAGTCAGTCCAACCCACAGCTATTCCTATTCAACCTTAAATATAAACATTACTATAACTCAGTCAATTCTACAAATATTTTGCCAACATGGAAGCGAGAGTGCCATCACTTTGGTAACAGCTGCTGTTTTAAATGTGCTTTATAAATAAAGTTGACTTGACTTATAATAAACATGTAATCATGTACATGTAATAATAAGTGGGAGGCTGTGGCTGAGTGGTTAGAGGAGTCGTCTTCCAATGCGAGAGTTGGGGGTTCGAATCCACCAGCAGTCAAATGCCGAAGTGTCCCTGGGCAAGACACTGAACCCCTCATAGCCTCTGATGTGTGTCCCATCAATGTTTGAATGTGAGTTAAAGTACTGATTAATCTCATTAGAATGATTTGTTCGATTAGGTTTGTAGAGATCTAGTAGAGTCAGAGTTTCTTTATTATCATTCACACCTCATGTGGTACATGTGGTGGAGCGAAATTATGTACACAGGGTCTCAGTTACATTCAATAATAAAATGTAAAAGAAAAACAATGATAACATCTAAGATATGCACTAAGAAAAACATCAACTAAATATACACTAAGCACTAATAGCTTTAAAAAAATTGCGTCGAACATCAGCACAAACATGAACATGAGTCTTTGTAAGCAGATGAGCACGCATGAACACATCAACATTGAAACAGATCAGCAGCAACATGAAACAGATCAGCAGCAACATGATGTGATTTTTCACAGTGATTATTCTGGTTAGGGATTCATGAGTCTAACAGCCTCAGGGTAGAAGCTGTTCCTCAGTCTAGTGGTTCTACACTTAATGCTCCTCAACCTCCTGCCTGAGGGGAGTGGGGGAAAAAATGTGTGTGCTGGGTGAGTGGAGTCCTTCATGATGCAGGTGGCCCTCTTCCTGCATCTGGAGGTGTAGATGTCTGTGATGGTGGGGAGGCTGACTCCAACAGACTTCTGTGCAGCCTTCACCACTCTCTGCAAAGCTTTTCTTTCTGCAGCTGTGCAGCCTCCATGCCACACGTTGATGCTGGAGCACAGGATGCTCTCCACTGCACACCTGTAGAAGGAGGTGAGGACTGAGATTCCCAGACCAGAGTGCTGTATGAACAGGTAAATGAGGACACAGATTGTAGTGTAAAGCACTTTGAGTATCTTGAAATAAGATAGAAAGGCGCTATATAAGTACAGTTAATTTGCCATTTACCATTAATCTCAGTTTATAGCATCAGCACCACTAACAGTACTGCCTCCACCACCTCATACATGCAGTAGTACTGATTAAAAAAACTTGGTCTTCAGTCCGTTCAAATTTTAGACCAATCTCAAAACTTTCCTTTATTTCAAAACATCTAGGAGAAAAATAGTTTGTATCCAATTAAATGACATAGTAAAAATCATTTTCCAGTCTTGATTTAAATAGCTTTGTTAAAGGTTTGTAATGATATTCTCTTTAGTAAATATCTCTGGCTGCTTTGCGATTGTCATACTCTTACAGCAACTTTTGTTGGCCACAGTATTCTGATTTCTCATTCAAAACACTTGGTTACAGTTACAGGTGCAGCGTTAGATACGTGCCATTTATACTCAAGAAACAATGCAATGTATGTAATTGTGAAGATTGGTGTGTGTTGATGTTTTGTGATCCCTGTGTTTTCCAGCTCATGCATACCTGTCCCTTATCCCAATCATCCCAAGTGTTCTTCATTGTCTATTACTGGAGTTCCTATTTATTCTGAGTCTTTGCGTCTTCTCATTGGTTTGTGGTTTGTCCATTTAGGTGTCATGTTCTGTTTCTGCTCCTCTCGTGATCTCTTCCCTACGTCTGTTTTGCTACCACATCAGCCATTTTTGTTGTTAATAATAAATATTCTTTATTTTATCCACAAGTTCCCAAGTCCTGTCTGCACCCTGAGTTTAGCCTTATGCCAGATCATGACTCCTTGAACAGTGACTCGGTACTGAAGGACTGTTTTGCATGTGCAGATTGACAGGTCTTCAGAGAAGCTGATGTGAATGAGGGGGAGCTAGACCTGGAGGAATACACATCTTCTATCCTTGGATACATTAGAAAGTGTGCTGATGATGTGACCATCACCCGAACTGTGAAGTGCTACCCAAACCAGAAACCCTGGCTGAATGCAGAGGTCCGTACCCTGCTGGAAGCCAGAGACACTGCCTTCAGGTCTGGCAACTCTCAGGAGCTGAGAAGGACAAGAAAAAAAGCTGACTGGTGGTATTAAAAGGCCCAAAGCCACATGTGCACAGAGGATCCAGGGACATTTCTCCTCACAAGACCCACAGAGCATGTGGAGGAGCATTAAGTGCATAACAAACTATAATGGCAAGGGTACACAATGTCCTAGGGACCCATCACTGCCTAATGCTCTCAACAAGTTCTAGTTCAAGTTCTAGTTCAAGTTCTGCATGCTTTGAAGACCCAAACAGACCACCCAGCACCAGACTCACCTCAACACCAGAAGATGAGTTTTTCAGCGGGACCTCAGCCAAAGTACGGAGTACTTTCAGGAGGATTAATCCTCACGAAACAACTGGCCCAGACAACATCCCAGGGAAGGTGCTGAAAGACTGTGCCCATCAGCTCTGCAAGGTGCTGGCCAACATCTTTAACTCCTCACTCACCCTGGAAACAGTTCCCACCTGCCTGAAGACTGCCACCATCATTCCAGTCCCATAGAGTTCTACAGTGACTGGTCTGAATGACTATCGCCCAGTAACCCTCACCCCGATAGTCACTCAATGCTTGTAAAGACTGGTCATGACCCACATCAAAGCTACCATCGACATCAACATCATCGAGTACCCCCCACCATTATGCATACTGTGAGAATCGATCAACAGAAGACACCATCTCTTCTGTAGTCCACACTGCTCTCACCCACCTGGAACAGAAGGACTCCTACGTCCGTATGATCTTTGTGGACTTCACATCTGCCTTCAACACCATGATTCTCCAGACCCTGATGGACAAACTACTCACACTAGGACTAAGTCCCTCCATTTGCAACTGGGTCCTGGACTTCTTAACAAACAGACCGCAGTCTGTGAAGATCCACAACTTCTCCTCCTCCACCATAACCCTCAGCACTGTCTCCCCTCAGGGCTGTGTGTTGAGCCCTCTCCTGCTCACTCTGCTCATGTATGACTGCACACCTACCCATCCAGGCTGTCATATTGTAAAGTTTACTGACGATACAGCGGTGGTGGGATGCATCACAAACAACAATGAGTCCAGCTACAGGCAGAAGGTGGAACACCTGGAGAGTTGGTACAGGAAGAACAACCTTCACATTAATGTGAAGAAGACGAAGGAGATGGTCATGGATTTCACAAGGAACAAACACCCTACCCCCGAATATAGGGATTTGTGGTGGAAGTGGTCTCCAGCTACAAGTACTTGAGTGTACACCTGAACAACAACCTCAGCTGAGGCAACAACACCACCAGCCTGATCAAGAAAGCTCGTCAGAGACTCTACTTCCTCAGGCGGCTGAGACGAGCTGGTTTGGGAAGCTCAGTCCCCACCTCCTTCTACAGGTGTGCAGTGGAGAGCATCCTGTGCTCCAGCATCAAAGTGTGGCATGGAGGCTGCACAGCTGCAGAAAGAAAAGCTTTGCAGAGAGTGGTGAAGGCTGCACAGAAGATGTTGGAGTCAGCCTCCCCACCATCACAGACATCTACACCTCTAGATGCAGGAAGAGGGCCACCTGCATCATGAAGGGCTCCACTCACCCAGCACACACACTTTTTGCCCCGCTCCCTTCAGGAAGGAGGTTAAGGTGCATTAAGTGCAGAACCACTAGACTGAGGAACAGCTTCTAACCTGAAGTTGTTAGACTCATGAATCTCTAACCAGGGTAATTACTGTGAAAAAAAATCACTGTTATGCCACTTGATTGTTGATATGTGCTGCTGATTGTCCATGCTGCTGATCTCATGCTGCTGATCTCTTTCATGTTGCTGTGTTCATTCATACTCATTTGCTCACACAGATTCATGTTTGTTCTGCTGTTGTTTAGCGTATTGTTTTTGCACAAGTGTTTAACATGCTCTTAGTTCATTTCTTAGATCTTATTTCTGTTTTTCTTTACAATTTATACTTTGGTTGGATGTAACTGGGACTCTGTGTACACAATTTTGTTCCACCACATGTACCACATGCGATGCGAATGACAATAAAGAAACTTGACCTTGATACTAATGTTAGAAATGTTCTTTACACTTCAGTATCTTTTCCCTGTGGGGTTCCTCAGGGCTTGATTCTCAGATCTCTATCTCTACCCCTTGCTTTTCTTGCTCTATTTGAGGACAATTCTAATAATATTAATAATAATAATGATAAACAAAAAAAAAAAGGTACCTCCTTCC